CATCACAGCGTGAAGAAAATTGACGGGGTGAAACAGGCGAGAGAATGGAGGGTAGTCTTAGATAGGCCGAGTTGACACGTGGCTGTGTGGTTTTCAATCCACGTAGAATGATTAGCGAAAACTGGGGGTAGGGGTGGAAATTCCAACCCGACCAAGGGTCACAGCATCCCCCTTAAACAACTATCTTAGCATTAGCTCATCCACAGACGGACAAAATTTCAAACGACGTTCAAGCGGGATCATCAAATGAACCGAACCAGAAGAACTAGACCCTAGACTGGACCCAAACACATGTAGGTTTCCCCGCCGTCCCAGCACTTGTTCAACCACTCTAACACACTAAAATCCCTCAGCCGACACCCAACAGAGATTCAGCTTTACTCAGCTTAGCTTAGCTCAACTTAGCTTCACTCCCTCCGCCTTAAATCTCGACCAACCTCGGAACCTAGTCACTTGGCCTGACGAAGTTTTGTGTCAAAAGCGAAACGTTGCCCAGCAATAAATCCACCGATTGTCACCAAACGTTTTCGAAAACGATGCAGTGAGATGTTTTTTCGCTGAAGGGAAGAATAGGACGATGGATTAATGCCGGTAATGGGAAACTAATTCAGACAGGACTGCTTTGACTCAAAAATGTAATCGGTAGTTTATCACACGGCACGAAGCGGTACCAATATCAGCCTGACTGTTAGAAGGATTTCTCCTCCTGTCTCTGATTGGTTTTTATTGTTGGGTGGCATTAAAACTTATGCATTCAGGGTAGCGAAGGTAGCGAAATCCAATTAAGTATGGCGTCTACTTTTTATGAAGCATTCTTTCGTATAATAGTAGTGTGATAGTAGAGTTGACTAAATCTCATCATAGTGCATCAGTATTCGTGTTTTTGCAAATGATTCATTCAAAATTTCTCCACATTAAATCAGTCGCTTGGCAAAAGTCTGCTGAGGTCCGTACATCTTCTTTTTATGGAAAGTTAATCTGGTTAAGCAAGGAATCTTCGAGACCACGAAATCCGTTTTGCCTATTGAAAGTAGTGTCCAAGTTTATTGGGGGTTACTTTTGATTTTTCATGACCACCACAGCGACTTAAAGCAACCCAAATTAGTTTTGTAGCAGGATACAGGCTTGGCAGAATAGGTTGAATTCATTGGGAGAACGAAAAGTTGCTTGCTCCGCAAGTGGATCCTGTCTGTTAAACAAGTGTCATTATCAGCCGTTCCATTCAAAGAAGAGTCTTTATGTTTACTCCGTTTCTTTATTTTGAAAGGACAAAAGTCCATAAGGTACTGCCAGCGTTGGAGCACTTAAAACTCCCCCCCACAGGTTGGCTACATCCACCAGTTCAAAAACGCAGTCTCAGTGCCATCATTAGACGGCAGCCGGTATCAGGCCGCGGCTGCTCAAACTGATGGCGATAAAGATCACAAATGTTTGGTCCATCAATTGCATCGACTGATCGAATAGTTCAGCTTATTTTGTGCACCAGGAAATTGGCCTAATATCACGTTACACCCCAACATATCTCTTGCTTCGTTCATCTGTCTCTCTCATCAGCAGTGTTGTAAAGTATCGCGGTGATTTCCTGGTGGGAAAACGTCCAACCCAGCTTATATCTAATTGCTGATATTGCAGATCATTGTCATCACACACAGTCGTAACGTTGGTGGGAAACGTCCAACCCAGCTTATATCTAATTGCTGATATTGCAGATCATTGTCATCACACACAGTCGTAACGTTTAAACTTCAAAGACTCATAACATGTTTCAGCAACGACTTGAACAACAAGGCGCTTTGACTTACTGGCTGCCTCGAAGACTTCATCACTCTACTTTCCGTGATCTAACACAGGTCGTAGCATCTTGGTCGTTGACGTAACTGGATCAAGTACCGAGTCGTTCACTGTAAACAGGAAGATGTGTCCCCTAGTGGCACACCATATGCGTGAGCCATACCTCCACTTTCTCTGTTTATGGGGGCCCACTCCAGAGGCTGTACCGAACTTCATAAAATCAATATTTGCCGTGAGGAGTGAAAAAACAACAAGCGCATTCCAAGCTTTCGGCTCGAGAAAGCACCGTGCAGCAAAGTCATAGAGCAGTGGAAATCTCGAAGGCTTTGATGAGAAATTTGCTTTCTAAGGGTTCTTGCATTTGGCAGACTTTTAACCAGAAACCAGGTGATGAATGAAGATTTTATATTGATTTTACTAAATATCGCATGTCTTTTTTATTGATGACTACCATAAACCTGATTTAATCAGGGCGTCTTTGTCTAATCCAGTGAAAATGCCTGCCAACAGAACTGTGCTGGTGATTTTGGGGTATGGGGTGAATCTGGATTTAGTGATTACGTACTGCCATATCTGGTGTGGATGGAAGTGTCAAACTTGTTGCTGGGTAGGATTGTCCTCGCAGCAACTGGTGGGATCATGCTATGTTTTAGTTCACTTTATCATACATGAACAGTGTCAAAACACAAGCAGAACTGGTCGAACTAGGTGCCTAGATCCCGCACGGTTTGGACATGCTTTTATCGATTTGCGGTTATTCATTCTCTCATAGCCTTAATTCAAGCCTACTAAAATACCCTGAATAAAACTTTATAAGCTATACTCAGTTAAGAGTACAAACCATCGGATGCTGAAATGATTCCTTTTGACTTGGATCATCTGTTCTCTTTCCAATCCTGCCCAGGAACCGGACGTTTTACCTCCATAACATTCAGGGCAGGCTTGGATTTTAGCAGGCAGTAGTAACAATTTTATGCATAGATACGGTGAAACTTCAGTGGATGGATAAAATTAATTTAGGGACTTACAGTCACTATCTTAAGCACAAAAAATGAGGCTGATGAGGTCTCAGTTTTACGAGGAAACTTACTTGGAATTTATTGATCAGATTGTACTTGTGCAAGAGTTCAAAGGCGACGAATTTCAGAGCATGATTCTCACTCGCCTCATTCAGTGCGAACACATCGAAGGACCACGAATCAAGCCCCGCCTGTAAGGATAAAATCAAAGGTAAGAACGAGTAGAATGTAGACAGCATCACAAGATTCATACTTTATGCAGTGTTATGTAATATAGCGTTGAACACCGAGCACGTCTGCAAAGTACCATTATTCATGAGACAAAATGACTGGTTGTAGAAGACCGGTTGACCTAAAGTGAGCACTAATAAATCCATGCCGAAGGCACAAAGCAGATTTTCTCTTCACTGATGAGTTTGTCATTCTCTTCATAGAGAATACTCACAGTAGAAGTTTTGAATCTGGTCTTCCACGTGAAATAACTTGCACAGAGATTATCGGGACGAGGACATAAGACCAATGGGAAGGTGTCCACCTGGGGTTCAAACTCCGGAAGTTGGACTGGTAGTCTACCATCCGTCTAGTCGGCGGTGTGTATTTGCTCTGAATGCGTCAGGTGATGATCGTGACTAAGCCAGTGCTATTTGTTAGGCCTTATTTAAACTAACATGCATTTTTTATCGTTGACGGTGGAGCAGTTTTCAGGATCAGAAATTGAAAATCCAAGCAGAGGAAAACACCATGATATTCAAATGACTTGTATGCAGGTCCAGATTTCAAACACTGGACTAGGCACACAACAGGCGGTGCGCATTCTTCACTACAGTAAGAGTCAAGTTAACTTGAGTTTCTCGCTTCTTCAGTCCCCGTGATTAGACCTGATTAGACCAGAAAGTGGCGTATTTTATACTATATCTCGCCTGACGATGCTCTTATAGATTTGTCATAAGAGGAGGGCAACTATAATGGCAAAAAACATCTTTCGCCTCCTGATATCTCTTAGAGTATTGTGCGGTACAACAATGAGATTTCCTCAAGTTCCAATAGGATGACCGTCCCTGTTTAGTATCATTTTCTGGAAAACTGTCGACGTTGCTGACATATACTATATAGATATATGCATTAGTATATATATAGTTCTTCTCCGGATATTTGGCTTTGACGCACTTGTAAATCTTATTGATGTAGCCTCATTAAGTGCAGGCATGATCGTTCTGTCTCCTGGTGGGTTTTGACCTAATTTTGGGCCTACAAAAACCTGCACTCCGCACACTCAGTATGATCGTGTACCCTTTGGGGTAAGGATGACAAGTTGTTTAGTCCACCGACATGTTCACGAGACGGAATATTGGTTGGTTACGGTAGCAGATGGTGCTACTAAATATTCCGCTATCTGCGGTCTTTGTGACTAGTGCGTAGCCCCAAATTGATCGGTTTGAAGTCTGAAACCAGCTTTTTTCGAATAAAATTAACTTCCCCTCTACATGTGTAATGCCTGGGTGACTTCTGCATTCCACTTTGTTATTTCGGATGCGTCACTAGGGAGGCGCATTTGGTAGACTAACTTAATCCAGCTGAATGTTTAGAAGAGCCGTAAAATCGGCAATTCCAACTTCAAAGAAACCTCTGGATTATCTACATATTTCGGTTCAATCTGCAGTAGATGCAAGTTTGGTTGATTTGTAATTGTCATGGTATCTTGGTGGTTTGACTTCCCCCAATTCCAAGACAGTCTGCCTTTCCCGACAGTATTGCCTGATATCATGACGAATTGCAGAATACTTAAACCCTCTTTTGAGAGAAAAAATCCGACCGACAATGTCGACAGTTATGAATGTAACAAAATCGTCCTTTCTATCTTATATGTACTGCAAAGAAGTTATCGTCCTATGAGAATTAGGTGAGTTGTCGGTTGTGGGACTTGTAGAATTTGCGCTCAGGTCACTCTGGTGTGGAAAATCCTCTCCGCGCCCCGTCCCATTTATTCTGATGGGTCCCTAACAAAGTGAGAGCAGTGGGTTTGAGTTTGCTCTTGTTGGTGCGAATTATCATCACATATATTTTGCCCCATGCCGCGTTCGAACTCCGGACATCCAGAATGCGAGGCGAGTGTGTTACCATCATTCCACTAAGGCGAAATGGATGCTCCTGCATTACCAGGTCTGATCAGTCGATAGCGTTCAAGCTTGGGCAATGTGAATGGTTTGCATAATGCTTCAAACGACGACCCAGGTCAGGTCAGGTCATGTTCTGACAGAAAAATGACATTAGATAAGTTGAGCGGTCGCACGCATTCGTGTTTGGCACTAATCCGCAGCTATCAATCCTTGAAACAGTACTACTAACAGACCCAGCAACCTATCGCGAAAGGTTGAAAAATTGCTTCCGTTTTGTGAGGGTTTCTAGGGGGCAAAGGTGACCGAAAAATAACAAGAGCATTCATTATCTTGCGTTCCAAGGAATCAAACACTTGCACTTTGTTTTTTATTACAAGTTTATATATGTAAGCCAGATAATTCCCAATCGGGAAAACTAGACTGCATCTTTCTTGGAGGCATCTCTTCAGGTTAGCGGTCACAACTTCCAACTCCCTTCTGTGGTGTTTGTATGGATATCAAACACTCCGTTCCCAGAATTAGAGCAAACAGAGCATGGAGAAATGGGCGTTCCCGCACAAGTGACAAAAACTTTTCCAAAATGAACTCACTTTTAGCATCAAAAGTACATTTGGTGGAATGAGAAGGTTTGAGCAGCTGGACATGCGTCGATAGATTCTGCATCGGATAAAAAAATAGAGAATTCGATGTCAGTCATTGAATAATGTGATCTTGAAGATTAGGCAAGCACGAGAACAAAATGGACTGGAGTGGATAAATTAGCCGCAGATTATGGACACTTTTGAAACTGCTCTTACGAAGCGCGCACAGTTCACGAATATTTTTGTTGAAAGTCAAAAGACTATGCCTACAAGCTGGGCTCCAAAAGGATCAAAACGACAAAGGGTATTTTTCACCAGAAATAAACGTTTTGATATCGACCCAAACGAAACAAGCCGGCCCTTGTGCAACACTCTTGGTTGGAGTTTATAATAAACGAATGGTAAGCTTGAGCTTCATTTGCTTTTTCCGCCCAAACCACCTTAATTTGAAAAAGAGTTTTCCACTTCATAACTGCTTTCTTAGTTGAGTTCTTCAACTTCACTTGGACCGCTTCATGCAGGGGTTGCATAACCACAATAAATCGAATTCCTTCCTTTACTCTTGATCAGTTTGATAGCGTGGTGTTGGTTAGCTGAAAACAGAGCCGGCTTTTTGAATTTTGGCTTAGGTACTCAACCAAGATATCGAATCGTTTATACAAAAAAAAACGCAAATCTTACCAATTTGCGGCATGTTATTATGAAAGAGAGGAAGAAATGGAAGCTTTCGTGAATTCCGCATATGCAAATTTTTTTTAAAGAACATTAGCACGAAAGAAGAGCCAGACTACTTATACCGATCACAGGTTACACTTAGTGAAATTCTCGGTCATGCAACAGGAGTTTCTTCGTTTAATTAGGAAGAGACAGGGAAAGTTTGTAAATTAGTTGGTCAAAAGCATTGTCAGAAGTAAGCGAAAGGCTGTTCGAATTTCAGAGATTGAGCAACCTGTTGGAGAAATTTCTTTTCACTTACAAGCTGGGTCAACGAAGGTGTTGCAAGTTTTGTCGGTATGTGCAGGTGAGTGTTATGAATACCCGTAAGCTTGGGAAGGCCAAGTGATTTCCATTCCACGGAGGTTTTATTCGTTAGATGACTGACAACTGCAGACGGCCACATGTCAGCTCAGCTTATGTGGTACGTGAGCATTTCAAGCGTTCCCACGTGTTTCCACATGATAATGTGGAGGTTATTGCCAGGAGGTTTGAGCAAGTTCGTTTGGAATTTCTGCTAAGAGTTTAAAAACCCTATGATTCACTGAGTGCGGACGGTTTAATAAGGTCACCACGAACAGGATGTTTTTCCCGCCGGGTTATTGGGAAGGGAATCTGATAAAGTTGAATAACACAAACAAAATGCAGTCTCTTTTCTTAACTGTTTTTCTTCAGCGACGTCCTTAAAAGATCTGCATAAAGGCAAAACAAAGTCCTCTCGCTCCTAACTCTGCAGGTCGACAAAGTGACACTGTTGTATGAGTTGTTCGTGTAGACGAGCGCTTGTCAAAAAAACGTAAAAACCACTCGTTTGATGGTAGTACTACAGGGAAGGAAAGCGGGTCTCCAAACCCGGGAGACGACCTTGCAATCGTACACGGTAGTGATGGGTCTTGCATTCGATTATATTCTGGATATAAGCTTAGATTAGGCCTGAGGGCTTTGTAGTATTTAGACCAAGCAGCTTTCCTCGCAGAGGGTCATGTTACCGACGTAACTCTGTTTACTGAGATCGCGAGTGACCTTGTATCTGTGGGATAAGTGATCCCACAAAAACTTAGATAAAAGAGGTCGCATCGAGCAAAGGCATTAGTTTTATTGACGTTCATCAACCAGGATTCCTCGAGTGAGGTGTACTTCGGCTTGTATGCTTCCACGAGAGCTGACACTATAATTTTTCATACAATCCTAGAAAAATAAGAAGTAAACAAGGTCCTCGTGTGCCAAGTACTCCAGAATGGGTGCTACATCCTTACACTGAAAAACTGCAATGCAATATCGTCTTCTAGAGATGGTACCCTGTTAGTAAAGCCAATCTGTGCTGAAAGGCCGATGAGCACGGTACTATTGTTTTATTATTAATGGAAATCTCCAGTAGCGTGTACCTCACAAAGGTCTGCGGAGTCTACGGAGTCTCGGGTGGTAGTTTGAACACTTGAAAGTACAGCCAGTATTGCGATTAACTCGGACTCATCATTCAATAACGGTCACCTGTTGCTTGACTGGCACAAGGAGTAACGACTACTAAGAGGAAAGTTTCACTCATCAGCTATTCATCGACTGTTGAAAGTGTGTGGGAAAATTTCAGGGCCCTTATTCGATATTTCGTCCAAATAGTGAGGACGATCAATGTTGAAAGGCAGAGGAGCTCCGTACAGTTGTCTACTGCTGTTTAGAGCATAGGCTGAATTCATCCGTAGAAAGAAATCTCCAATAAAAATTCCAACTTCTACTCACTTTGTCATGACTAACGTCCACTTTTGCTGAGACCCCAGAAGA